AAGCCACACCTGTTCTTGTTCAGTCGTTTCTTCTTGCTGCGCTCTGGCTTCCTGTTGCTGCTGTAAGCGACCTCGTTGTAAACTTTGGTTCCTACTTTGTTCTGCAGCTTCATGATGTCCTCGAAGGACATGGTGGAGAGCTCTGGAAGCGTCAGAGAACACAGAGTGGAACCTTTCATTGGGGGAAACTGTACGTCATTTAAATCTTAGGGCTGTGAGGCGGGTGATGTGCTGTGGCGACCACTATTGGGAGGCATCTGACTGAAACTCACTCTGACATTGAACAAACTGAACCCGCTCTGTTCTAGCAGACACCAGGGTGTTATGTTTAACAGCTCTAATTCTCCCTCACCATTGGCACCGGAATCAGACCACGATCACTGATAAATGTGTATTTGCTGGTAACGTTATTCAGTTCAGCGTCACGATGCAGCAGCAAATGTCAGATCTGTACCAGTCACTCAGCAGGAGAAACGTTGCTCTCATCACTCTGTCTTTACAAAATCTACAAACTCTCACACGTAGAGGAAACTGTCAAACGAGTCGGGCTACAGAAGTGTCCTGATGAGGAGGATGGCGTGACGGAGGGAGGCAGCCCAGACAACCAGAAAGCTCGTTTTGGCGGCTTTGCAGCCTGAGTACTTGTACTGTTAAACAACTACCATGTTCCTCAGCACAGAGAAAACTAAAACAAGTCTAAATGACTTGTTTTGTACAGTTGTAATCTCACAGATGTTCTGGAACATTATTTTCCTGGCTCGGCACAGCTTCAGGTATCTGATAAAGGTCTGATCACAGCGCCGTGGAGGAGGCACACTGCTCTGTCAGGGGACGTGCCATAGCAACATGTACTGTGCCGAGACCGGACTTCTGGAAACCCAAGGAGAAACCGCTGAGACATAAACAGGCGCGTAGCGTTTCAGTGAGTAACCCCGTGAACACCTGACCAATGCAGGTATGTCTGTGCAGCCGCAGACAGACACTCACCTTTTTTAATGTCCTCTCTTGTCTGGATCTCGCTGCTGCCACCAACATCCTCCTCCTCCTCAGAGGCTTCACTGTCACCATCCTCCTGCAACTCTTCCTCTTCATCTCCAGACTCTTCCTCTCCTCTGTGATATTCCTCTCCCTCCTCACTCCCTCCTCCTCTTCCTCTTCCTCTCTCAGTGAGCAGAGAGTAGTTCTTCTCCACGTCGGAGTCTTCGTCGCTGCTGACCGCTGTCCTCATCTTCGAGACCGCCAGCTGCCGTCGCTGCTTCTCCTTCGCCTTCATCTGTGTGGTTGAGGTTCAGCTGTGGGAAATCAGAGGAGGAAGAGTTACACATGGTGCTGCTTTCTACCAGAAGGCTGCGAGTGACGAGCCTCCACCCTCTGGTGCACAGCAAGTTGCAAATGTTGAACACACGAATGCGTCAAAGTGAGAGTTCAGGCATAAATAAGTCACCGTTTCCTAACTGTGCATATGCCAAGTAAACCCTTTGACCTTGAACACAAAGCATCTTGAACCCTGACCTCACCAGGCACAGAGCAGATACGTGAGACTCAGCGTCTGCGTTATGTTTGCTCAGGCTGAGCAGTGGCTGGTCCAGCTGGCTGGTAGTGGCAGCCACCTCTGGGACAGGGGTCCGACCGGCTGTCCAACCACTGACACGGTTCTAACAAGATTGTCTAACAGAAGAACACGCCGGAAATTTTGTAGTTTCCCAGTGTATTACCACATGTAAATACAGTTTTAAACATAACTACAGGTATTCATACGAGCTACATCTGGATTCGGGCTTTTAAAACTGATCACGCCGACGCCTTCAGTAAACACACATTAAACGGAACGTTGGCCCGAGTAGCCAGAGACCAGACACCGGGTGAGGAGCTCGGTTAGCCACCGAGTAGCCAGAGACCAGACACCGGGGGAGG